TAATTCATTCGGCGATTACATTTCGGCCCGGAAGTTCAATTCAGGATGTGGCGGGGCTTTAAGTTTTAAAATTAACTATCTATGCTGATGGCGCGCGCGCATATTACCTTTTTACGGTTTCCCCTCAACACTCAAGAATGATAAGACTCGTATTTCTTCCTTTGCAACCAAAGACTGTAAAGACCATCCCAACCGTCCCGCTAGAATCTGATCCCAGACGCTGATCCCTGGCGCTGACGACAGTAATCTACAAGAAACCAAACCTGAGGGTACACCCCTTGCGATCAGACACCCACCAAAGCAAACTACAAGAAACCAAACTTGCGGGCACACCCCTTGCGATCAGAAGAGCAACCTACAAGACACGAAACTTGAGGGATCTTTAGGGTACACTCCTTGGAATCAGCTTTCTGAAGGCTCAGTGGCGTGGCGGTCATGGCCAAAGCACACAGCTACACTATTGCTGCAAACCCCGACCAGGACACCTTGCGTTGTCCCAAAGTCACCAGACAAAACCACCATGCAACACTGTAGATGTTTCTGCAACAAAGCTTGAGAGGTCACAAGGGGCGCGCGTAAGAAAGCTTATGCACGCCCTGTGTGGCCTCTCAATTTGTCTTGGAAGGTTTACGTGATTGGACCAGTTCAGGAAATGAGTTATTGTGAGAACATTACAATGACCACCTGACCGGCTGTTGACCATTACAACTCACGACTTTGTCAGCTCAGTGAGCGCATGGTCAACCGATGTGGCACGTTGCAACCTGTTGCCTTATGCCTCTGACTCTGCCTTATGATTCACACCAATGACTTTGACCATTGCTTCAGAATGTCCACCCCAAATTCTCTCCAAACCCTCCACCCCTCGACTTGGTCCTGGCGGATCTTTCGCTTAACCAGATATTTGTCATCTTCTGCAATCAAAACCTGCAGAATGCGAACAAATCATCCAACCAGTCCAAAAAACACAGGGTCCAAACTTCCATGGTTGAACACAGAACATGAATAGAGCAAATGACACTATGAACATCATGTTCTACTGACTCCTTTAATGATTGAATGATTGTAGTAGTCACATGTTCTGTTGACTCCTTCAATGACTTAACTGTGATCGCCACTGTTGAGAACGTGTTGAACTCCGATTGTGAACGTGGCCTCATCAAAAGATCGTCCGCCAGGGTCCTGTTTCGAGGGCTTCCTCTTCACTCGTGGCTTGCTCGTCCGTGCAGCAGCTGGCCGTTTCATGGCGATCGCGCTGGATGGTCTTTTCCTGGCCCGAGGATGAAATGATGACATACCATGGAATGACATGTCAATGACAATGACCAGTCAAGACCTTTACTTGAGTTTGAAAAATTGTCAGATTGACACTCAGAGTCTAAAATGCAATGACAGGAAACTCAGATTCTGAATGAATATGAATCAGTTAGACTCTAGTTAAACTAGTTGTGATTTCGACGGTGGGTTTGCAAACATCGCTCCACAAACGTCGCTTGATCAATCTCCAGAAGTCACTTAAGATGACTGTGACACTAAGCCAACGACTGGCAAGCAATCCCGGAGGCATCAGGCCTGGCATCAAGCTGCGACTGTGATTGACACGCGATAATCCTTTCCAGCAGTTGAGCTTGATTGCGACCCAGTCTCAAGTGTAAAGACTGTGACACTCAATCATGGAAGCTTAGATGATGCTCCTGATCTGTGGCTGCTCAAGTAGATACAGCTCAGCCGCATTTTTTTGCCGCTGGCTGCGCAAGGTTCAGCGCCCAGATGATCCAGCTGCATTCAGGCTCTTGAGGGCGCCCCCCACATATCCATTGATGTCTCAGCAGGCCAAATGCGCAGGAACGTGCCAACAAAAATGGAAGCTGAGCAATTCACTCACAGCAATTCAACAGATTCAAGGCTTTAGCAAAATGAATGACTCAATGCGATGCAAGTGTCTTTTGAAGTCACCCGGAGAGTGGATGTAATGCAGCAGTATTTGCCTGGAGCGGAGCGGGTATGGCGGCAGCAACTGCATTGCAAGCGCGCAATTGCTTGAAATAATTTTGCAGCCAAGGCGCATGATGTGGTGCTGGCCATCAGAACTGAGCCCCTCCACTGCTTTTTGCAGGTTGACTGCCAAACCGGCATCTGCCATCACTTCCAACCTTGGACCAGACCCAGATATTGTCACTCGCACATCAAAATCATGCAATCTGCCGATCAATTATGAGTTGGATTCGTTCCAATGCCAAGTAGCATGACACTCTCAATCCCTGGGCTCTCTTGTGCCACTAGATGAGATGGCGCAGGTTCTTCAGCAGGAAGATGTGAGGGGCGCGGTGGCTCCTCCTCATTGTCGTCCTCATGATCGCCTTCGTGGCCACTCACATCATCCTCCGCATCGCCCTCGTGGCCCCTCACATCATCCTCCGCATCGCCCTCGTGGCCCCTCACATCATCCTCCGCATCGCCCTCGTGCCTCCTCACATCATCCTCCGCATCGCCTTGGTGGCTCCTCACATCATCCTCCGCATCGCCCTCGTGGCTCCTCACATCATCCTCATCGCCCTCCACATCCAGATCCACTGTTGGGATCTCTTCTAAAGACAGAGTCCTTAGACGAAGAAAGCTCTATCGCCCCTTCCATGGACCCTCTACCGCCCCCCAAAAAAGCTCTACCGCCCCGTGCATGGACCCTCTACCGCCCCCCAAAAGAGCTCTACCGCCCCTGCATGGACCCTCTACCGCCCCCCCAAAAA